TAATGATAACATGATAACAATGATAGTAATTATGATAACGATAATAATTATAAAAAATAATAATGAGAATAACAATGATAATAATAATAGTAATAATTATAATAAAATGAAAATAGTAATGATGATAATAATAATAATAATGACAATAATATTAGTAATGATATTGATAATAATCATAATAACAATGATAATGATAGCAATAAAAATGATGATAAGGACAAAAGTAATGATAATGATAATGAACATAATGATGAGGATTAATAACAACAGTAACAACAACATGATAACAATGATAATGATAATTGAAATAATAATGATAACAATGATAACAATAGTAATGATGATGACGAAACTGATGGTTATAAAAAATATATTTATCATTATCATTGTAATCATTATTATCAGTATCATAGTCACCAGTGTTATAATGACAGAAAATGATACACATACACACACACACACACACACACACACACACACACACACACACACACACACACACACACACACATATATATTATATATATATATATATATATATATATATATATATATATATATATATATATATATATATACATATATATATATATATATATATATATATATATATATATATATATATATATATATATATATATATATATATATATATCCCAACACTGCATTATTACAATTATTATCTTAGCACGTAACTCATTCCTTTGAATAAAAATCCTTGTTGCACTTCAATTTCATTTTAGGCAACTCGTTAATGCCTTGATATCAGATCGTTGAGTTGAATATCCTTATCATTATCTTGACGTAAGTATCTGTTAATGTTTTTTTATGAGATATCCGGATTTACACATATATAGATGTTTGCGTGTGCGTGTGTGTTGTGAATAAGTGTTTCTGTATGTTTGTGTGTGTGTGTGTGTGTGTGTGTGTGTGTGTGTGTGTTGTGTGTGTGTTGTGTGTGTGTGTGTGTGTGTGTGTGTGTGTGTGTGTGTTGTGTGTGTGTGTGTGTGTGTGTGTGTGTGTGTGTGTGTGTGTGTGTGTGTGTGTGTGTGTGTGTGTTGTGTGTGTGTGTGCTATGGACGTGTGTTTGTGTTCTGCATGTGTATGGGCGTGTGTGCATACGTGCGAAAATAGACGTTCCATTTCACATAACATGCCATGGGCTCCCTCACGTATGTCCATCCCGCCCTTACACACACATACCTGTATGATATAATCGCAGACACACGCAAAAAGAATGTGCCACAGTTACTTAAGACATCTCAAGACATTTGGGTATTTACTTGCTTTCAGATCTGGCCCGTAATATTCAGAAAATACGCCTTAACTTGATTCTTTCATGAGGAGAGGCGTAACATCTACATCTCCTGTTGTTAGGCGCTTGTTGTTAATTCTTTTTGGCAGTGGGATGTCATTGTAGCGTTACTGTGGTGTTAAATCGATAATCACATATCGATATGGTGATAAACACTCTATAAGGAAAGAAGCAACATAGGGGACTGGTGGGAGGGAGGGAGGAGAGGGAGACGCGCGCCGCACCCTTACTAACCTTCCACCTCCCTCCTCTCCCTCCTCTCCCTCCCCCGCTCATCGCTTTACACCTACGCTCCGTACGCCGCCACGCCCTGCCGAGCGGTGAGACAGGGAACCAGTGGCCTCCTAAAGCTGAAAGACAGAAAACAGTCCAAAACGCAAAAGAGCAGTGAAGGGGTCTTGGAAATCGAAGCCGAGGGGCAAGCAACGTTCCGCAGGAGGGAAGCTAGAGGACATTTCAAGGTGACTTACGCCTGCTCCGACCCCCGCACTCAACCCGCGCTCATGTCGAGGGGACGCCGCCCCCGTCCTTGGTGAGACCACGCCCCCAGGCACCCCCAGCCCCTCCTTGCTCACCACCTGCCACGTGGAGTGATGCAATGCCTGGGCTTCTCTTTACGTACATATACACACGGATGCACGCATATAGGCCTACATATATTCGCGAAATTACACAACACGCACTGATAAACATAAACTCTTTGGATTCACATATTCTCAAATAAAAATGCTGGACCAGTGAGTAACATAAAAACCACAAGGAAACGAAAAGAGAAAACAACAACAAAGAAAAAAAACAAACAAAGAAAATGACGATAGCAAGAACAAAAAAAAAAAAAAAAAAAAAAAAAAAAAAAAAAAAACAGAAACAAAGGCACAGCCACTGAAAAAATGCACGTCCGCATAGAGCTGTCCACGTGGTCCCAGCGTGACTATGTCAATCCATAGCAGTATAGTGGTGGCTTCGGAGGGTGAGAGGGGCCGGGGGAGGAAAGAGGAGAAGAGAGGAGGGGAAAAGGAATGGAGGAAAGAGCGAGAATGCAGAAGAGAGGAGAGGAAAAGAATGAGGGAAGAGCGAAAAGGGAGAAGAGAGGAGGAGAAGAAAAGAATGGGGAGGAGCGAAAAAGGGAGAAGAGAGGAGAGGAGGAAAAGAATGAGGAAAGAGGAAAGGGAAAGAGAGGAGGGAAAGAATGGGGAGAGCAAAAAGGGAGAAGAGAGAGAGGAAAAGAATGAGGAAGAGAAAAGGAGA